GTTATGCACTATCAGGATGTTATGGAGTTTTAGGAGTTTGTTTTCTCCTGTGTGGTTCAGTGTGGCTCTGCAGGCCCCATTATCCACTGGGCCATGGGTGACCTATACAAGGAACTATATTACAACAGGTTCCGCCGGATGCCCTAATTAGCAGCAAGGACAGATGGACACAGGAAGACCCTCCTGTTACGGCTTACAATGCCACATTTTGAACCAGTGTGACCTTTCTGACTTAAGCCATTTTCATCACTCAGCTTCCCAAACTCCATATTTTGAATCAGCTGCCTGGTATTGGAATGGGTGGCACTATATTATCCAGATTCCTTTCTATGAGGTGGATACCAGTCTGGGCTGACTGGAAATGAGAGCCCCCACCCTTTGCCCCTATTTAGCCGGGGGGCACAGGATTCAATATTTGCTCCAGTCCTCTTCAACAAAAACCTATTCTCCAAAGGGCAGCTGAGGGCAGAACAAGAAACAATGGGTGGAAACTAATCAAGGAGAGAAGCAAGTTGGAATTAAGGATAAACCTCTGGAAAGAATATTATCTGTAATATTCTGTGTTATCTGGGAAGGCATTCCTCCAGAAGCGGAGGTTTTTAAGAAGAGATTGGACAACCATTTGGATTTAGATTGGATTGGATTTATTACATTTATATGCCGCCCTTTTCCCCGAAGGGGACTTCATTTGTCTGAAATGGCCTAGGATTCCTTCCCTGAGCAGAGGCTTTTATTATAAGACCCTCCAAGGTCCCCTCCGACTCTGTTATTCTGCTACCCATGAAGCCACTTGGTAATATCATCGATTGCTATGGGGTGAGGAGCCATCAGCCCATGGGTCACACTCAGCTCTCCATCTCTGGCCTGGAAAACTAAGCGTGGTGTTGAATGGTACAAATGGTATGAATGTTGTGTTTTAATGATATATTGTTCTATATGTTAAAAGTTTGTCTCCCCCCTCCCTTTTTAAGTTGTAAGCCGCCCTGAGTCCCCCCAGGGAAAAGGGCGGCATATAAATAANAAAAAAAAATCTTTGGTATACCCATGACATGAATGACCAAGAATCTTCATAGACATATTAAGAAATGTGTAGCTTTGATGGAAGAAATGTTAGAAGTTGGGTGTTTCTGATTATTAATTTTGAAAATTGTATGGTGATTTTCTACTAGATTTAAACTTTTAAAAAATTGTGAAAAATATATATTGATTGAGACATCAGATATAGACTATTTGAGTTCTCTATAAAACCTTATTTCACAGTAAAAACAGAGTTGTTATACCATTTGTTATTTTTTCTCTTTGTTAAAAATGTTGTACACGCATATAATAAATTATATTGAAAAAGAAGAGCACTTTTGTACGACAGCATTTTAATTAATGTTTCCACTCACAGAACTGTAACAAGCATTAGATAGCCAACCTATAATTATATTTCCAAATATGGGTAAAAAGTTATAGTGAATGAAAAAGAACTAAAAAATGGGTTGATACAAAACTTCTCACCAGTGGTGAAAAAGGAATGGAATAAAGCAAGAGTCTCTACTTTTTGGGAAATATACTGCCCACAAGTCTTCAGCCTTTCCAACAAAAGATGAATTTGGCTAGGATTTCATATGCATAGCAACAATGCCAGGAATATATTTGCTCATCAGCTGGTCATAACTGACATTGAAACCACAGTCATATCTGAGCCTGACTGAAAATGCCCAACATATGCCTAAATGTGTATGCCCAGAATACCTGGTTCTTCTATATATGTTGTTTATATATATATATATTTATTTCGTTGGCACCTCTATCAAATTGTCTTCATTATATTAATTTTGTTTTACAATTTTTATATTCTTCTGATTGTCAATAAAAATAAAAACAAGCTAAATTTTTAAAAATGAAACCAAGTTTTTAAAACCTGATGGTTTTTCAGACCAGTAAATTGTTTTACCACCTGTTAGCCACCCAGCTGTTCTTGATTTAAAAAATGCATAATTGTTTAGCTTCCAAATTCAAAGTTATCCGACTTTATTTCTGTCAATGTAGTAATTTAACTTAATCTGATTATGGTTGCATTCCTAGGTATACCTTTAAATGCTAATTCAAATATATTGGATCTACTTAAGGTAGTCATACTCAACTTTGGATTCAAAACAATGTAAAATAGAAAGAAATACTTATTCAAACAATTTATATTCAAAATGTATAATAAATGTTGTTTAAGAGTAAAATATGTATGAAATAAATATAAATATATTAACACAGCCATGCAAAAGATAAGGAATTCTATATTTTGTATTTTGTAAATGCAACAATGTCAACCCACTGGGTAGACCAAACCATAAAATGAATTTTACTGGAAAAGAAGAATTATTTGCTCATCTTGGTGTTTGCAGCTTTTGATAGCACAATTCATAGTATTTTTTTGAAATTCTCCTGGGAGCTGGGAATGAGTGGCACACCTGTGCTAGTTTACTCTTTCTTCCTCTAGGACAGTACCAGTCAGTGTTGATGGGAGGGAGTGGTACAATCCTCAGCCCCTGTTCTATTAAGTTTCACTAGGCTTGATCCATTGTATGTTCCTGTTCAACATCTGTGTGAAGCTGGTGGGTGAAGTCATCGAACAATACAGGATAAAGTACCATTGGTGATACCCAGCATTCTATCTACATTCCTGGATGACCAAATAATGAAGTGTAGATATTATCTTAGAGCCTGCAGACTGTGGCGGTTTTGGTGGAGAACAATGGGTTTCAGCTCAGCCATAGCATGCTTGAGTGGATTTGGGCATTGGGGTCCTCTGGTTCTGGAAAATTTCCATCTATTGTGTTTTTGTGAGGAATTTAGGAGTCTTCCTAGATTCCATGGCTTCTCTTTAAGAAACAGGTAGCAGCCATGACTAGAAGGGTGTTTGCACTACTTTGTGTTACATGCCATATACTCTCATTCCTGAACCAGAAAGTTTTACTGATAGTCACACATATCTGGTCATCCTCAAATCAACTACTGGAATGGGTTTTTTATATATGGATGCTCTTGAACAACATTCAGAAGCTATAGCTGCTACAGAATACAGTGTTGCAGACAGTTTTGTGTCTTTTTATCTGTTCTCATTAAATTGCTACTCTGTGATCTCTATCCATTGACAATTTGCTTCCAGATTCAGTTCATACTGTTGATAATGATATAAAGCTTTTCATTGCATAGAGCTGTGCTATTTGAGTAACTGTTTTTCTCCAGTTGTATTTAGCCATCCCATTAAAACTGGCAGGTCAGTCAGGCTCTCAATCAATCTATAATGGAGTGTCATCAGGTAGGAACCCTTGTTTCTGTAATGGTGCTTGCCCTTTGGTATATCATCACTCCAGAAATTGCATTGGCCCAGACTTTTCCATAAAGCCTTAAAGACAAAGCTTTGTCACTTGGCTTGGAGATCTAGATGTATGACAGAGCCCATGCAACATTTATATTTATTTATTTTATTTTGTTGCTGTTTCAATTTGTTGAATTTTGGCTACTGATTGTGGGCATGTTGTTTTTTTATATCTGCATTATGTGATGTTTTTCACTTTTTTTCGTCTCCCTCAGTCATGAATTTAAGCTGGAGAATCTAAATAAATAATAATAGAAAAAACTTTATAGAACTAGATTATAATAGCATAATTTTGCAAGTATGACTGTGTTTTACTTACTCTCCTCCTTATACCACAATCAATCATGGAGGCATTTGGCTTGGCTGAGTCACTACATAAATTTCTTCCCAGGTATTAAAAATACTTCAGCTCTCTTTGCCTTTGTAATAGTTTTCTTGCATATCTCTGTAAAGGTCAGCTCTCATACTCTGTACACAGAATGTTGTTATTTCTTTGATTTGTGGATGATTCTTGTGCAAACCTCTTTCAAATATATCATTTTAACTACATTTCATTCATTTATTCAATTTCAAATTAAAACAGGCTAATAATAGTTTGGAGATATTTATGCTGGTATGTCATATAATAATGTGCCTAGAGAAAATATATACATTTATTGAATATAATGGATTGTTTATTTTTTTTATTTTTGCTTATAGTTCTTTTTCCAAACAGTTCTAAAGACATAAACTCACAGTTATGTGTTTGCTTGTAAACAAAGACTTCTTAAAAAGTCTATCAGATTCTGAACTTCAGGTTTTCCAGTTAAATTTCATATAGTAGCAAAGGCAGTGATTTTTTATTTATTTGCATCTCATTATTTTATAAATAACTCAAGGTGGCAAACATATCAAACACACTTTCCTCCTCCCATTTTACTCACAACAAGCCTATGAGATGGCTTCAACTGAGAGAGAGGGACTAGCCCAAAGTTGGCTAAAGCAGGACTTGAATTCACCATCTCTTCACCACTTTCTAATCTTGTGCTTTAACTACTAGACCAAACTGGTTTCTTTTCTTTTCTTTTCTTTTCTTTTCTTTTCTTTTCTTTTCTTTTCTTTT